TATACGTTCTGAAGTGTATTCGTTGTTATCGTTCGTTTCTGGTTGTTTGCAGAATATACTTCCCCATTCCAAGCTTGGACTTCTCCCTCTAGTTAGCGGGGCTGGGATGCATCAATATCTAGCTTACTAGTCTTTGGTCAGCGAGTCTTGTTTCTCGTTCTCAGATTGAATGAACTTGTGATAGCATCAACCCTAGCAACTAAACTTTTTTTTTAAAAGTTTCATTGTTAATGTCAAGTTCAAATTTCAGATTCAATGTACGTCGGGTTATTACATTCAAGTGTACAAAGTTAATTGTTAAAAGATTGTTTATTCATATGTCAAATACCAATTTCGACACTATTCATTCCACATACACACAAGAATAGTAAAATAAACGATGATGTCATCGATTTAAGATCTGGAAACTTCAACTATGAATCGTGAATGCGTTTACATTAATGAATAAGCTACAAGGTTAAGAGTCGGTTCAACCAATTATATAGTAATAATTATTCAAAGATTTCTTTAAAATTATATAACGTTTCTGCGTACCATGTTTGTTTGTTGACATTAACACTTTTATACTATTCATTTTCGTCCTAGTATGGGACTCCTTAGCAGTGCGCATCCACGAACCCGCCCCCTGCGGGATTCGAACCCAGGACCTACTGGCTTCATTCTGTTACGTATTCATATGGTTGAAAAATCAAATTAGTAAGAAGTTACTTCTAACCAGGGTAGTATTAAAAGGTTTAAAATCACAAATATTCCACACCCAAACACCTTTCAAGATGAAACTTTGAGAATTAATATCTTATAGGCATTGCCAAAACAGTTGAAGAAATTTGCTGTATCATTTTGAAACAATTTCATTTCTTTTACAGTAGAGACTTTTCCACAACTACATTACTGTTCCCCTAATGATTTAAGTATTTAACTTTCTATTTTATTTTCACATATCAATGTCTAATTAGATAGTTTATAGTATTAGCATTCAAATAATCTATTGTGCTCATAGCCTAATAAAATACCAAGTTATGAAAAGTTGAACATTAAAGATCATTCTTTACTATCTCATATTTAATGTTTGATCATGTAGATATTACAAATTCAACAAAAAAATTCATAAACCAGGAATGGATAACTATTCAAAATGTTCAACATATCTTATTAATGGCTTCTTCCATGAAAAGGTTTTCATGGAATGATAACAATGGAAAAATCGTTAAAATTCAATGTGTGTACTAAAGCAATTCTATCCACATTTCCACTCTCGGCAAGGATCAAATACTTTGACATATAGGCAAAATTTTTATGATTTCCACTTTTAAAGTCTAATAGTATAAGTCAATGAGTTCATACTATTGAAGAGTTCAGAAAATGAAATGAAATAAGATAACTGTATACACAATACTCATTCCATTTCATTGTTTTTTTAATTCATTTCAGTCATGAATGTAAGTTTTCTTAAAATAATTTCATCATTGAATTGAAATCTTTTATTGTTTATCTTTATACATTTATCAAGGCTCCTTTACCATTTGCAATTATTTATGTGACAATAACATTCTTATTGGTTATTTTTACATTTATTGGTGCACCCATTGAATCATGTAAGTGAAAAATATCCCATATATCTATATATGTATGTATATTAAATAAAGCATAGGGCATATTGAGGCGATCCGCACAGCATGCACATATGCCAACATAAGACTGATCAATTGCAGTTCTAAATAACAATGGGAAGATACATGTAAAATAACACTAAGTAAAGTTAAACTCCACCCCATTACACAAGTAGGTAGCTATTAGGGCACACTAGCTAAGTGGATAATGCGATGGTGTTTGAAGCCGATGGTACTGGGTTTGAGTCCTAGAGTGAACATCAACCATGAGATTGCAGATACATTCAGCTAACGAGCCCTAAATAGGATGAAATGTGCGTCAAACTGGATTCCACTACTAACCACTATCCATCTTTACTTAACATAGCGTATTTAGTTTTATTTTATTAATAATAAATTTTACAAAGTTTTCTTCTGGAATTCGATATTTCAAATAAGTTCAAATCTGAAGAACATTTTGTTGTAAAAATCTTTTATACCTTGAATTAAGGGTTATTGAAATAAATCATAAAACAAAAACACTATTGACGGAAACGGAAATCATTTAAAGCAATGAATCAAATAGCATTTTATGTTTTTATTATCATTATTCTAGTCAATTCCATTCAGTATCGTTTTTCATTTCATTTCAGTTTTCTTTTCTTTTAGGTTAGTAGGTACCTTTAGTTAATTGTTATGGAAAATGTTTCAATCATTAATTGAATTCAGTTGTATAAAACCATTGAAAGCTTAAAATAACTGAAAATCTATTTCAATAAAACTCGGCAATGTTCGATTATTTATTTATTTATTTCAAAACATAAATATTGATACAAGAGGGCATCAAATGTATATGCGCCACACCATATTTGTATGTGTCTGGGCTGTGATACTGCCTGGGTGTTCAGACCGAAGCAGATGTTTTCTTGGGGGGCCACACCCCGAGCCTTTGACCTAAAGGTCTGACCCACAAGGCAGTGGAGCATCGTGAGGAGATGCAGTCCCATGGTAGCCAGTGACCAAGTAATTGGTTCATACGCCATTTGTTCCCGCAAGATACTGGAGCCCATGTGCACTGAAGGTTTGGAATCCGGTTAAAGCGCCGGACATTCGCTTTTCGTCCTCTCATTTTTGTAAACAACACCCCCTCTATGGGAAGGCAGTGAGTAGGATTTCCTTGGCAGAGGCTGCATACGCGTGGCCGTGTGAGAGTATTTCGAGAGGGAGGGCGGGCCTACCCCACTCTCGGCCATGCCAGGGCATTTGGGGGCATATTCGATTATACATAAATAGAGCTTGATAAAAACGGAATCTAGAATTTTTAGACCTTATGATGAATAATATCACAAAGATGGAATTTACATTTTCAAATTTATTCAGTTTGTGATATTATACAACCACTATTCAATGTCACTGACATGTTAAACTCATGACATAGCAAAACTCCTCTGCCATCATAATGTTACACTATAACTTAAGAACTTCACTTGACTGAACAACAGTTTGAACGTGATTATAGTAATAGATGATCATTAGTAAAATCAAAAGTTAGTAGGCAATGTTCCGTTCATTTAGAGTTTTAGTCTAAAATAAAAATCCTCTCCATTATTCGTTGGTTTTTAGTGCTTCGTCAGTTGAATTCATTTTGTTATCAAAATTTATTTTTATCCTGTGAATTAAAATCTTTTATTAATTAATTATTTTGATCATTTAAACTATTCTCTAATTCAACTTTACTTATCTGATGTATTTCATTATTTGTCAGTTAAATTCAATGTATTCGATTTCATTCAATTATCTTTCGTCAATATAGTTATTCTTTCGGAATTATTATATCGTTATTATATCATTTAAATAGTTGAGATCATCAGTCAATTCAAGCTAAACCACCATGGAAAACTTGAAAGCACTGGACAGCCGTTTCATCCTGTTGTGGGACTCTTCAGCAGTGCGCATCCACAATAACGTCTCGCGAGATTTGAACCTTAAGACCACTGAGTCGGCATCCAACAGTGTTTTAATAATGATCTTTTTATGATTATATCACTGTTAACAAAATCTCTTAAAATATTATTTAGTATTGAATGTATACTTTATGTTTTTTAAACTTTATTGACCCTTTATTTCGATAATGCAATGAAAGGAAGAAAGTTGTCAGAATTATGTGATATATTTACGCAATACATTTCGAACAATCTGATCACACATAATATACTTGGTAAGAACACTTTTATGTGAAAAATAAAAGGTCAAGTAAACAGATTAAAAGTAAGCCGTAACGAAGGAAATCAAAATAAAGTACACAAAAACAATCTGATAACCACTCTGGATAATAAATCAGTATTACCAGGGTAGGTTGAGGGTAAGAACACATTGTTTCCGAATATATAAAGGAAATTTAAGTTTATGTATGGCGAAGGCTTCAATAAACTGTAGTATAAATCCTTGAAGGCTTTTGTACAATACTACAAACTCTGACTTGACATCAACCCTATAACCAGTCTCAGCCAAATGTTTTGCAGTGGAGAAAGATGTCTGTCTATCCTGTGATCTTATTTCATCATTGGAATTCATTTGTTTCTGCAGCCATTTGGGTATGTGTTCCGCCATTCTTTCTTGCAGATCACGATTGTTCCTCCCTATGTACGTGATTCTGCACATACATGTAAATTGATAGGTACAATCGCTTATGTGCTGTTTGAGTTTTTGGTGAGACATAGACCTTGTCTTTCCAATAATGACAAGTTGAGCTGCATAAAATGTTCAGTTAATGAATAATTTAAGTCTCTGTTTCAACATGAGACTATTTGAATCGCCCCTAAACGGCAACATAATGTAAACTCCCTTTTGGGTGCCAGAAGTGTCATCGGTTTAATCGTATTGCAACCCTTCCAGCGGTTTGTAAACTTCAATTAATAACCATTATTCATTAACCTTTCACTCAAGAGCTTCGTCTCTACTTCAATAGTATCGCTAGTACAAATATGATTCTATTGAATAATCCCTTTATTAATCCACGTTTATAATGAATTGGACAGTGAATATGGAAATTAATATATTGTCCTGTCCATGTCGGCTTTCTATATACAGAACGTTGGTTGGAACCATCATCTCTCCCCAGTAATCAGTATTTCTAGAAAAGGAAGTTGGTTATTCTTCTCTTCTTCATATATATAAGAGAAATATACTTTTGACTTGTGTTTAGTTCTTTTAACAAGTGGTTCATATTTTCACGTTTATCCCCTATGTTAGCGGGACATAGACTAGATTAAAGCATGCTCAATTCACGATTGCTTTGGTGCACGCTGATTGGCTAATTCTTAACCAATCAGCACTAGTCGATAGTTGGAGAACACTCTAGAATCTTCTCATGTAGAAAACTATAAATATACTGACGTTTTTCTCTATTGTGCTTCTGACTTGCTATTTGGAATATAATCTCTTTCCTGTTCAACCGTGTTCTGATTTGGGGTCTTGTCGAGTGAATCGGCGTCCAAGAATACTAAGCAATAGGAATAGCTGGGTCATAACCGTAAGAAGAAGCGAGAGTTAAAACAGTGGCGACGGGGAAAAAGGAAAACAAATTCAAGATGCCTATATCAGATGACCAGCTTAACCGAATACTACAACAACAGCAAGCACAACTTGATGCACAAATGCGGTTGTTGGAGACTCTGACTCAACAGCTCAACATCCACAGCTCGAGTTCACACGCTATTTCAAGTTCGTCTTGTGATGCAGTTGCTAGCAGCATCCCAGAATTCATCTATGATCCCGAAAATGGAAATACTTTTCTCACGTGGTTCAGACGTTGGGAAGATACATTTAGAACAGAATTCTGTGATCAAGACGATGCGTGGAAGACCCGATTGTTGGTACGTAAGTTGGGAAGCAACGAACATGCACGTTTTGCTGACCATATATTGCCAAAGTTACCTCGAGAGCTCAGTTTCGAGGAGACGGTATTTCAGTTGTCAGAGATATTCGGCGAGTCATCCTCGTTGTTTAGTATTCGATATCGGTGTCTAAATTTGGTGAAACGCGAAGCTGATGAATATGGTGTTCTAGCAGACATTGTCAACAGAGAATGTGAACGTTTCAAGTTACGCTCGTTGACTGATGACCAATTTAAATGCTTAATATTCATCAAAGCTCTTCAGTCACCACAAGATGCTGAGATCAGGACTAGACTTTTGGCTCGACTGGATCAAGACCCAAATGTCACACTCAAAACATTGACAGATGAGTGTAAGCGTCTACAAAGCATCAGACACGACAATGAGTTGATTGAACAGGTAAATCCTAATTTAACCTGCGGTAGTGTAAATACTATTACTAGGTTAAAAGTTCAGAAGCCAGTAACAACTCGTAACAAACCAAGGACTGCATGCTGGTTATGCGGTGATTGGCATTATGCACGATTCTGTCCATTCAAGAAGCATAAATGTCAGGAGTGCAACAAACGTGGACATAAAGAAGGTCATTGTCCACCGAAGCGTACGTCTCAGCCTAAGAAGAAGCATAAACGTCCTCGACATGTGAAATCAGCCGAGTCCAAATCTCTTTCTTTGGTAGCTGCCTTTCAAACAAACTATGACATTCAGAGAAAGTATGTTACCATCCAGATAAACGGCATATCAGCTCGTCTTCAAATTGACACGGCATCAGATATCACGTTAGTGTCTAGAGAAACGTATAACTTGCTGGGTAAACCGCCAATGAAGCCATCTAAGAAAAGGGCTAAAAACGCATCAGGTGGTGTGCTAAAACTGGTTGGTGAATTACAGTGTGAATTTTCCTTCAATGGAACTAACTGTACAGGAATATGTTACCTAACAGAACGGCCGAACCTTGATCTTCTTGGTCTAGATATGTTAGACAAACTTGGAATAATGGATGTACCAATTAACAGTGTCTGTAACGTATCGTGTTCATCATTGGACACCCCAGTACTTCCAAAGAAGACAGGTGAAAGGTTACTAGAACAACTGAAAAGAAAGTTTGCCTCTGTTTTTCAGAATAGCCTTGGCCACTGTACTAAGATGAAAGCGCATTTACCAGTAAAACCAGATGCCATACCTATTTTTCGCCCGAGACGTCCTGTACCATATGCTGCTCTTGAGCTAGTCGACCAGGAACTTAATCGCTTGCAACAGGCTGGTGTAATCCGACCAGTTAACTACTTTGCATGGGCCGCACCGATCGTAGTGATTAAGAAGGCCAATGGGACTATACGCATATGTGCCGATTTCTCGACCGGTTTAAATGCTGCATTAGATGTATATCAATATCCATTACCAGTTCCTGAAGACCTGTTTGCCAAGCTTAATGGTGGGACATGCTTCGCGAAAATAGACTTCTCTGATGCTTATCTCCAAGTGGAAGTAGATGAAGATAGTAGAGAGCTTCTGACTATTAACACTCATCGAGGGTTATTTCAATACACTCGTTTACCATTTGGCATCAAGACCGCACCCGCCATCTTTCAGCAAATAATGGATACGATGCTAACAGGTATACCTGGTACAGCAGCTTATCTAGATGATATCATAGTTATGGGTTCAACTGATAGTGAACTTTCTGATCGACTACACCAAGTCCTTAACCGAGTGTTGGAGTATGGTTTCCAACTACGTGAGGAAAAATGTATCTTCTTCATGCATTCGATCAAATACCTTGGTTTTATCTTAGATAAGAACGGTCGCCGACCAGACCCTGCCAACATCGAAGCCATTCAGAAGATGCCTGCACCAACTGATGTTTCTTCATTAAGATCCTTCTTGGGGTTAATCAGTCATTACAGCACATTCTTGCCTGAAATGCATCGAGTGAGAGGTCCCCTAAATGAATTACTATCGAAAGATAAACCTTGGCAGTGGTCAGCAGAATGTCAAGCATCTTTTGACAGAGTCAAATCAATGCTCAGCTCAAAGATTCTTTTGACGCACTTCGATCCCTGCTTGGAAATTGTTGTTGCATCTGATGCCTCTAGTCATGGAGTTGGAGCAGTGATATCTCACGTGTTCCCGGATAAATCAGAAAAGACAATTGCCCATGCTGCTAGATCACTTACTCCAGCCGAGCGAAACTACAGCCAAATTGAAAAGGAAGCTCTTGCAATCATTTTCGCAGTCAAAAGATTTCATAAAATGCTCTATGGTCGTACATTTACTCTACTGACAGATCACAAACCTTTGATTGCAATCTTTGGTTCTAAGAAAGGAATCCCTGTCTATACGGCTAATAGACTACAGCGCTGGGCAACAATGCTCCTGAGTTATGATTTTAATATCAAGTATCAGTCGACAAATACTATCGGTCAAGCTGACGCTCTCTCCCGATTAATTGGAGTTCAACATCCTGGACCAGAGGATATAATCATTGCCTCCACAGCAATAGACCCAGAAATACGAAGTATAGTGGCAGATGCCATTCGAAACACTCCAGTGTCGTCAGATGAAGTCAGGGAAGAAACGCTTCGAGACCCAACACTACAAGAAGTTAGAAAGTTCCACCTAGAAGGGTGGCCCTCGAAAATCAGTTCCACAGAGCTTCAACAGTTTTACCAGCGAAGACTCTCTCTTTCAATCATCGATGACTGTCTGCTGTTTGCCGAACGTGTCATAATTCCCAAGAAGCTACAACCAGCAGTGCTTGAACAGTTGCATGCAGGACATCCTGGGATAAATCGCATGAAAGCACTAGCACGAAGTTATGTATACTGGCCGCATTTAGACACCCAACTGGAGCAGCTATCCCGTTCGTGTACCAAATGTGCATTAGCAACAAAGGCACCGCGAAAAGCAGAGCTGCAATCATGGCCAATACCACAGTCACCGTGGCAGCGTATACATTTGGACTTTGCTGGTCCACTTCATGGACAAACTTACCTTTTGGTGGTTGATGCATATAGCAAGTGGCCAGAAATTTTTCTCATGGAACACCCTACTGCAAGCTGCACAGTCAGTAAACTACGTCAACTATTCAGTCGTTTTGGAATCCCGGAATTGATAGTTAGTGACAACGGAACACAGTTTACGTCCGGAATCTTCTCACAATTTTGTCGGCAGAACGGAATCCAGCACCTGCGAACACCTCCATTCCACCCCCAATCAAATGGCCAAGTGGAACGCTTTGTGAGTACATTTAAAAATGCTCTAAAAAAATCCAAAGGGGAAGGGACCACTGAAGATATCTTAGAGAGGTTCCTGTTTATTTATCGCTCTACACCGAACCCTCAGACAATTAACGGGGTCTCTCCAGCAGAAGCTCTACTTGGCAGAAAGATACGAACACATTTCGATGTCATCCGTCCTACACCAGCTATTGAACCCCAACGAAACCTATCGATGGAGAATCAGTTCAACCGACATCATGGGGCACAAAGACGATTGTTCACGGTGGGACAAAAAGTGCTTGCTATGGACTATCGTGGGAAACATCCTACATGGACAGCTGGTCGGATCTTGAGAAAGAAGGGGAGTGTGGTTTACGAGGTGTCAGTTGGCTCGGAAGTTTGGGTACGTCATGCTAACCAATTGAAAGCAACTTCGATAGCCAGTAACCAGATTCAATATCGATTACCTCTTGATGTTCTGCTAGACACCTTTGAAATCAAAACGCCGGGAATAGACACGTCAGTTTCTGTGCAAGAAAAGAGTGATACTTCTCTATTGCCTAGACGATGGACTAATCGAAAGCAAAGGCCAGTCACTCGGTTGCAGCTGGACCCTAGCACCAGATCCTACGAATCTGCTCAAAGGGGAGGTGTTAGCGGGACATAGACTAGATTAAAGCATGCTCAATTCACGATTGCTTTGGTGCACGCTGATTGGCTAATTCTTAACCAATCAGCACTAGTCGATAGTTGGAGAACACTCTAGAATCTTCTCATGTAGAAAACTATAAATATACTGACGTTTTTCTCTATTGTGCTTCTGAGTTGCTATTTGGAATATAATCTCTTTCCTGTTCAACCGTGTTCTGATTTGGGGTCTTGTTGAGTGAATCGGCGTCCAAGAATACTAAGCAATAGGAATAGCTGGGTCATAACCGTAAGAAGAAGCGAGAGTTAAAACACCCTATGATAATGATGTCATCCACATACCGTTTATACAGACACATCTTTTGATTTGAGTTTTCAGTTTATCTTTAACCTGTCTAGTTGACCATTTTGTTTCCATATAAAAATGTGTGATCAAATTTTTCGAAATGGATGACCCCTTATTGTCTATTTTATACTGAATTAAGAATTATTTTCGTTTTATGGTTTTACCATTTTGTTGAAATGTGTGGTAATCTGCACAACATTCTCCATAGATCATTGTCTATTTTAACATAGATTACACTATTTTTACTCACAATTAATCGTATATGTAATTTCAACTATGATGATCGTTTTGAAGTAAGTTGATAAGACTGCCAAGTAGCACGAAACCCGGGTCCAGGGTTTCCTGTTGACTGCCTCCAACCACCATCTAAATCTCAATACATAGTGCGCGCAGTGTCGAGTCACCTAGACTGGTGGCCACATTGCAACATGATCGATAGCATTCGATCTGCACTAATAAGGACTAGACAAGCATGACATTGATCACCACCCAGTGATCAATCAATTATGATTCCATCTCAGTCCTACAGGAGGTTAGTCACGGCTCGGATAGCTCAGTGGTGACGTCTCTGACTGTGAAGCTGGGTGACACGAGATCGAATCCGCCAGGGAGCACCAGTTCCCTCAAGATTACAGGTACACCTTGCTGACGAGTGCCAAGTAGCACGAAACCCGGGTCCAGGGTTTCCTGTTGACTACCTCCAACCACCATCTAAGACTGCAAGTTTACATGGATTCTGAGTGATTAGGGCAAATGTTAAGTGATGATATTTATTCCAGGAACTCAACCACCTATAATCTGATATATATTGATCTATTACATAATAATACTTTTATACTTTAGTGAATTTTTGTATTTCATTTAAATTTTGTTTATGATTAATGAATAGTGACTTGTGAATGGGGGAAACGGATATGTCAACAACAAAATTCGACTGAAACTAGGCTCATATAAAATTATAAATCAATAATTTATTAAATATAATCAACATATAAATGTAGGTTATTCACGGGAAGAAAAAAACAAAAAAATGTAACTTCCTGTTTGTTTGTTTTTCATTTATTGTAATCGTTTACTATATCGATAGAGATCTATTTTTATTCTTAATTGATAGATAAATCTTTCTAAATCTATACAACATAGACTCTTTTGATTCAATTATTGTCTTTCATTTGTAACATTTACTAAAGTAATACATAACAAAGTAGTCTATATATGCTCTACCTTCAAATGCCCTAGTACGGTCGAGAGTTAGGAGAGTCCACTCTCCTACTTCAAATGCTCTCACATGACCACTTGCATACAACCAATGCCGGTGAAGTTTTACTCATTGCCTTCTCGCTGCACCGGTGTTGTTTACAAAATTGAGAGGATGAAAAGTGAATGTACGGCACTTTAACCGAATTATTGCATACGGAGAGTTCACTTAGGGGAGTTGGAAAATCGTGATTCCAAACCATTGGTGCACATGGGCTTCAGTATCCTGAAGGAACAAATGGTGTATAAACCTACTGTTGGTGACCGGATACCATAGAACTGCATCTCTTTACCATGTTCCACTGCCTTGTGGATTACATCTTTAAATCGAAGACTCCCTCTGTGACTTCCTAAGAAAACTACCTGTTTCGGTTCGCGCATCCTGGGGGTATTCCAGCTCTCACACAAATCAGATGATTTATGTGGTGCATATCTGTTTGGTGTCACCTTGCATCAATGTTTATGTGTTTAAAGAAACAAATAAATAATAATCTATATATCAAACAATTGTTATGAGAAAACACATCTTTCAATATGTAATCGATTTGTAGATATCCGAATACCTAGAAAGAAATTAGATTATCTGATGTTTCTACTCATTGGAATATAACAAATATATTAATTTTGTTTATCACAATCTATCCAATGCTCAATTTATTCGAAATGATCAAATCAAATCTTAACAATCATACCTATAAAACGGACCTTTATTATAAATAACAACATTTTGTTTACATTAAAAAAAACTGGTTTTATGTAATAAACAAAAAAATAAATACACATTGAATATATTTCTATCTTTTATAAATAAAGTCAATTTATTTCGTGGTTAGTGTTTCTTTTAGCGAGTTAGTTTTCTGCAGAATAAGGTCGTTAACCTCATGCCCAACCCTCCTTCTTTTATTCTGTCTTGGGACCGGCAGTAGCTCAAGAAGGGCTCTACATGGAGTTAAGTCAGTTTAGTAGTAAATATATTCTTTGTTATAGTCCAATCAGTAGAAAAATTATATTTCTGATGTGTTTTTTTTTGATGTAATGTAAGCTAGTTGTTTAGAGTGATCTCTTTATTGTTTTTTGTTTACTCTGAAGAAGTGACTTACACTAAGTCACGAAACGTCAGAAAATCTAATTTTTCTACTCATTGAAATATAACAAATGTGATATATTTTATTATTAACTCTCTATTCAATGTTCAATTTATTTGAAATTATCGTGTGTTCTACCTCGATATTGATACTTGTAAAGTTAATTTGTTTTACTCGGAATATAAATTTGATCTAATGTATTGATTAGAATTCAAGGGAATCATTCCATGATTATTATTATTACTACTATTATTATTATGAGTAGTAGTAGTAGTAGATGTATTACTCATAATGTTTACTTCATTGTTTAATAATGAAGATGCAATTTGACCCAAATATCACTGTCATTCAAAATAGTTTTTGTCTTATGCCTACTTAGTGTTAGGATATAAGTCCCCATTATTAGATCATTATTGTGTTTATGAAATAAATCGAACTATAACGATTTATTTGTTTATGTCAATTATAAAATGTTCGAAGGACTATATATATAGTTGTATAACCTTTTTTATTTAATAAATTTCCTCTATTTAAACAAATCTATTTTATTATTCTATGTGAATCGTTCCGTAAAAAAACAGTGGTTTGTTGTTCTGGTCAATGGGTTTGCTTAAAACTAGAGACAGAAATAATTAAATTTAGATTATTTCGATTAAATCGTTAAGGGATTTAAAACGATGACTTTACTTACTTATTGAATTATTTACTCCTGTTATTCTCCTCGTGGAGGAGTATAGGATGCACATCAGCAATCGTCATCCAACCCTGTCTCAAGTAATCCTTTCCAGCTCTTCCCAAGTATTATTCATCTTTTTTCATATCTGCTTCCAATTCCCGACACAGAATGTTTTTTAACCTTCATCTTTTCCATTTCCCTTCATGATTACAAGTTAGCGCTAATCTCATGATGCAGTTTGATGATTTCTGTAATATGTGTCCTGTTCACTTCTAATGTCTTTTCGTAATTTCCTCTTCACTTGGAAGTTGGTTTCTTCTCTTCTACAGTAAGCTGTTGCTGATGGCATCCGACCAATGGATGTTGAGTATTTTGCGTAGACAGTTGTTTATAAATACAGAATACTATTCCTACTGAAATAGTTTATTGACTAGTCAGTATGTTATTTTGATTGTTTGTTTTTTTAAAGATAACTAATCACAAGTATGAGACTATCAGAAGGATCTGAATGAAAACTTGTAGAATAAATTTTAAAAAATGATTTTTTAAGTAGTAGGAACTGATAATGTCAGTCAAAGTAAAGTTTTTGTAATTAAACTATTTAGGTTAGAGATTATTTCTAAAGTATCTACTTGGTTTATGAATTCTCATATTTAGTTCCGACCGATTGACATTGAATGATAGTTGAACTCGTTTAAAGTGATATAAAACTTCTTAATTAAGTTTACTGAATAACTAGAATCAGTGTTTGCAGATTCTTGGTAATGCTGTTTAACACTAAGTATAACAATTCAATGTGAACCTGTGAATTTATTCTTTTGACTATTTATGTTGATTTGTCTATATTCGATGAAAATAGTAGAAAGTATTTATTTTAACACAAACAGGGATACAAGAAAGTACTAAACAGATATGCACCACATAAATCATTCGATTTGTATGAGGTCTGAGATACTGCCCGGGTGCCTAAAACTCTTGAGGAGCCACATGTCGAGCATTTGACTTACAGGTTTAATCCACAAGACAATGGAGCAACGTCAAGAGATACAGTCCCATGGTAGCCAGTGATTGATACTCAATGATTGTTGTGTTCTTGCCTTTGAAATCTCTTTTAATATGTATAAACGATTTATATCCTCATGTTGTCAATAGAATGAGCTGACATAATAGACATTATAGATAAATGAATTTATTTACGATAGTAATTGACTGTTATACTTTCACACGTTGAAGAACATGAATTAAATTTGTAATGGATCAATAGTAGTAAAGTGATGAATGGATTCAACAATTCAATGTCAAATATCATTGAACTCTTTTCATTTATTTACTTACCTTAGAAACTGTTGATTGTATTTTCTTTGTTTTTTTGGTTTGTTTTTACCCCCCCCCAAAAAAAAAATATCAATCAATCATTTCTGTTTTAGTAATGGGGTTACTTATTATTTTCACTGGAATTCCGGTTTATCTTATTGGTTGTGTATGGAAGAATAAACCGAAAGTATTTCAACGTGTATTATGTAAGTATATGTGTTGGTTTTTGATTTGCTCTAATGTGTTTATTCATTTTTTTGTCTCTTTTTTTGTGGAAGAAAAGAATCAGTGAATGATGACTTTAGTACTGAGTTAGCTGTTGTAAATTGTTAACTTATTTCATTCATCTAATGAATTATGTTCTATAGAATAGAATATAAGTTGGGAAAAATAAACTTGGAACATTAGGTTTTGTATTGGTTATGAATACATTTTAACAAAATATGTCGGAAACCTGTAAGGAAATGATGTAACATTTGAAGTTTGAACACGTAGTACCCAATATTGTTAACAAAAAGGGTATTATCATTGA